GACTGAAGGAGACAGACAGTTTTGCTTGTGTTGATGGTGAGCCCGAATTTCCTCGCTGTCGAAACCAGAGCACTAATCATGTGCTGCAGCTCATCCGCGTTGTGTGCGAACAGCGCACAGTTGTCAGCAAACAGCAACCTACGGATGGTTGTCTAGAGAGTTGACTAGAGTTCTCGCACCGAAGCGCCGGATGTTCAACAACCCACCATCAATACGATGCTCCACACGAACACCGCAAGCACAAGCGACATCAAAAGCACAAGACATCATTGCATGAAGATAGATATTAAACAGGGCAGGAGCTAAGACACAGACTTGCTTCACACCAGAGACAATTGCAAAGTCATCCGATGTCTGTTCACTCAGCTGCACCTTCGCCTGCATACCACTGTGCAGGCATACAATTAAATTTACAAACTTACGCGGGCAACCAAACTTACGCAACACTAGCCACAAGGCCTAGTGGTTCACGGTATTAAATGCCTTGGTGAAATGAACAAAAAGCGTGTACAATGGCTGGTGTCGTTCTCTGCATTTCTCCTGCAACTGACGAGCCGCAAACACCAAATCTATAGTGCTGCGACCCGAACGGAATCCACACTGGTCTTCCGCCACGTTAAGTTCCACAACCTGACTGACGAGGCGCTTGAGCAGGATTCGGGCAAACACCTTGCCCACAAGACTCAGCAAGTTGATGCCACGATAATTCGTGCAACATTGCTTGCTCCCTTTGCCCTTGTACAGTGGTAGCACAAGGGCATCTTTCAGCTCAGCAGGCACGTCCTCCACAATCCATACGCGTTGCACCAAGTGGTGCATCACAGTCACCAACACGGGTCCGCCGTGTTTCATTACTTCAGGCGGGATGCCGTCGGCCCCAGCACACTTGCCGTTTCGCAGCTGAGCGAGTGCTCTCTGCGTCTCATCCAGTGTCGACGTGTCCTCCAGACTCGCCTTCACATCGTGCTGCTTGAGACTGTTCATTGTAAGCCAGTCGATCTGTGAACGGTTGTTCAAGAGACAGTCGAGATGTTTTCGCCCGATCTGCATTATGTCTGCAGTCTTTGTGCTGCTAGCGCTTGAACTGCCATCGATCAGCGTCCTCAGCGGCTCCAATCTCGGTCCATACACAGTTTTCAAGGATCCAAAGAATTCCTTGTGTTGGCGACGTTCGGCGTGGCATTCCATCTGCTTCGCCTTCTCCGTCCACCATACATTTTTAATGCGACGGAGCTTTCGTCGAAGTTTGCGAAACTGACTCTTCTTCCCCAAGTCACTGGGGTCTGCGACATGTGCAGCAAATGCTCCATTCTTCTCCGACGGCATTGTTGCCCGTCGTCGCATTGTTCTCATCAAATCAATCAGGCCGCTTACAGTTAGCTCGCCCGATGGTTTCCTCTGCAGCAGCTGTCACCTGGTCGCGAATGTGGTGCTACAGGTCACCCACTGTGACTATGCCGTCTACCTCACACAGGCGTGCAGCCATCGCCTTCTCCAACTCAGTACTTTTCGCTACAGTACCGAGGGAGAGAATGTTAACTTTATGCCCATTCACGGTTTGAGTGCAATACATAGATTTACGACAATATGTGTGCATTTCTGTCCGCATCAATTTGTGATCAGTGCCACACTCAGCTCCACGCAGTACACGTGTCATGCGCACTTCACGCATATCAGGCTGACGTACGATGACATAGTCGAGCAGGTGAGCGTGACCACTCCGTGGGTGCGTCCAAGTTGCTATATCACTGGCACTCAGTGCAACCCGACTGTTCGTGGTCGTCAGGCCGTGAGTGGCACACAGTGAGTGCAGCCTGTCACCGTTGGCATTCGCTGAATCAATGCTGTGTTAACCGGTAACATCTGTCCACACCGATGCATCACGCCCAACGCGGGCGTTGAAGTCACCCATCGGAACTAGTCGGTCGCTCCTCGACACAGGCCGTATCACGGAGGATAACTGCGTATATAATTGATTACTTGTGTCAACCGGATAACACTTGCTTATAAAGGTGGCAAACTTACCTCCTCTAAATCGTAGGCGAACAGTTTATTCATGTGTTTTGTTGGGATAAGGAAGGCAAATCACCGCCGCAGGCAGAGATACATGCCCTCCAATGAGTTTGTTTTAGAGCCATTCCTTCCAACGTTTCTAACCAACTGCACTCACCATCCTTGGGACCCCATCCAGGAAGTCGGGAGGAACCAATCTTGACCAGCTGTTTTGTCAGCTTTTTCATCCTGCTTCTGTAAGTTGTAGGCTGTCCACCCCTCCGCCTCCTCCAACCCTGTCCAGCAACTGCGAACAAGGCCCGACCCGGAAGACGCTTAACGGGCATACTCAGTACGTGTCCGAGCCATCGTAGTTGGCGCAGCGAGACAAGCGCCTCGAGGGAGTGGCTGTCTCCACCCAACACTCGCAGTCTGAGTTCAGTTTTGGTTACGTGGTTCAGACACCACACACAGGTGGTGGACCGCAAGCAAACGGTTCTCGAAGACAGACAGTCGAGGGTGGTCATCGGTATGAGCAGGCCAAGTCTTGCAACCGTACAACAGTACAGCGACGACAGTAGCACTATAAACCCGTCTTTTGATGGAGAGTCGGATGTCATGGCGGCGCCATAAATGTCTCATCTTATAGAAGACGAGACGAGCTCTTGAGATACCCATCGAAATCCCCTTTCCAACAGCGCCACCAGCAGTTATGCAGCTTCTTAGTTAGGCAAAACTCTGCATTACTTCTAACGTTTCTCCATCGATGTTGATTGCAGATAGGGGTGTAGAGCAGTCTTGAAAAAGCGCTTTTCACTTGCATGGTGAAAAGTGCATGCCATACCTCGACACTTCAATCGCCAGGTGGTTAAGTGCAAGTTGGACGGCCTGCGGACTGTCACCCAACATGACGTTATCATCAGCGTAATCCAAAGCAACCACCCAAGTACCTGTGAGGAGGTCAACGCCAGGGTTTAACATATCGCCCAGAGCCTTCTTCAGGACATACTCAGTGTCAAAGTCGAACTGGAGTGAAGAGGTAGGGCATCCTTGTCGAGCTCAGTTGGTGACAACAAAGGTAGGCAGGAGCTTGCCATAAGCCCTAACTCTACCCGAGGTCAGACTATACAGAGCACGCAGAATGGAAACGAACTTCCCAAGAACACCATTCCTCAACAAGCAGTGGCACAGTGTAGCCCTATCGACAGAATCGTAGACAGTACGGATATCCAAGAACACACCAATTGTTGGCTTTTGATACACATGGCGGAGCTCGAGAATCTGGCGGAGTGTGGAAATCTGATCGATGCAACCGCGACCAGGACGGAACCCAGCCTGTTCTTCTCGTTATAGTGATTCACGCATTTGGGATAGCCTGCGAAAAAGGATGGACGCCAGAATCTTGCAAACGACGGGGACCAAGCTTACGCCCTTGTAATTTTAGCAATTTGTGCGCAGGCCCTTATTGCAGATGTGGACAACTGTGGACTCACTGCAGGGTGATGGAACCTTCTGTTTCGCCCTGAATTCTGAGAACGAAAGGTGAATTCTCGAACCAGCGAAGTGCCCCCATCTTTAGTTAAAGCAGGAGGTAGACCATCAGGGCGGGGTGCCTTATAATGCTTTAGACAGTAGAGTTCCCGTCAGGTTTCCTGGTGAGAGGGAGGATCAATGGTCATAGTCCACTCATCACGATTGCTCGCCCCAGGGGAAACAGATAGAGCTGGCGGCTAGAAAAACTTCTAGCCAAACTATTCATCCCATCGCTCTAACCGTCGTTGCAGATTAGTGATTAGGGAGCCATTATCTTCGCATATTGTTTCGCTTATTCCGGATCGGAAACCTTCTGTGACCCGGATGAGGTGGAACAATTTTCTGGTATTACCAGAAATTAGCAAGATCAAGCTCTCTATCATGTTCACACCACCAAGTCTCACGATCCTTCTGTAATCTCCTGCGCAACGCTCGATCCAGGGATTGGCCTCCTTCACTACAGCTGGTGTCGGCTGGGATCAATCGGCGTCTGTCCATCAGCGATAAGGAGACACTTGTCATCCAGCTTTTCGTTGGGTGGCAAGCGAATCCAAAACTGACAGTACTGGCAGAAATTAAAGCGTCTGATGCGCATCCATTGCGAATTGAGACCATCTTCAGGACGAAGCATGTAGTGTTGACAGAGAAGCTTGGTACTTGGTTAACATCGCAGGATTTTGCAGATTATCGACATTCGGTTGGTAGTGCGTGATCAGACTCCAGGCAAGTTGACTAATACGATCGGCAGTCTGTTATTGCTGTGGGTCAAGTTAGGGCCATTCTTGTGTTTGAGAAGGCGGACGCTGGGTAGCAATCTATCTTTTCGTATACCGAAAACTGGTGCTCGAAAGAAACAAGTGATGATCAGAACAAAGAGTCACTAATCTGTCTCCATTGTCTGATCGGCTGCTACCGAGGCCAACACTACCCCCAAGATGGTGCTCGCTCGGTGGCAGGCGGCCCACTCGTGCGTTAAAATCTCCGGCAAGATTAAGAATGTCAGATTTCTTAGCGGAACGCAGAAACTCATGTGGCTGTTGATAATGACAATCTTTGACTGCATCCGGGCTGCAGTCTGTAGGTGCGTAGGCTCAGATGACAAACAAGGCACGCGTAACATCTCGACGCTCACTTAATTTACATGTACCTCCTAGTCTGACTGCACGTAGTCGACCGTTGAGTGGTATCCAGTCAAGCAAAGCAAACTCAGCTTTGTCACTCAGTGCAATTCTGACACCAGCTTGGCCAGAAGTGGCGGCCTCTGGGTTTCCAGTAAGGCGCAAGTGGTATTTGACCTCAGGGTTTGCCGGAGATGTCATTCTGTTTCACTTTCTAACCAACTTATTTCTGAGACGCATTGAGGTATTCATTGAGAGTTCTTTGTTCATGTCTACATCTGGCAATTATTGCAAAACCTGTCTAGTTTCGGTAGCGACTTTTGCTTGATTAAATCCTTCGTTCCTATGCTTTTCCAGAACCCATTAACAGAGTTGGTTAGTCGCACTCACAATCAACGGTTGGAAGTCGAGTATGGCAACGTGGATGCGTGTACGTTTTAACTTGTTTTTTCTGCTGTGTGCCCCAATTTATCAACTTTGATCCATTGATTTGCCGTGAATACGATTGTCTTCATACATGTTGGCAAAATAATAATGCTGTTCACAATTATAGCAGTAATATAAAAAGAACGAGCAGAAATTAAATTGACTAGGTGAAAGAGTCAAGAGTCCGATTTAAAAAGGCGAATAAAAGAACGTCGTGGTGCATACTATTTAACATTCCTTGCCGGTGCTATCTAACCCGTTGTCTCCGTCATATGTTCCATGTACAAATATGCGCATATCTGCATGGGTGCACGACAATTTTGAGTGCTTTTGTTTTTATTGTGCTGTCTAACTCCCTATTGTCCCCTTCGCGCTCGTCCATTCCTTGTGTTTGCTTGATTTCAGCTCTCACTGACAAATCCAAGTCACGAAAGGCAAGGAAATCTGCAACTGGCAATAGAGAACAACCAGAAAACCGTTTGCTTCGATCCAGAACTTCAGTCGATGGGCGTTCGTCAAACCTTAGAGGTTCTGTTGGTACTCGCCCAGATTCTGGAGAATTAGAATCGTCCGGGACTATTGTGGCTTACTTGGATTCTCTGATAAGCAAGCTTGTTCAGAAAGAATACGGTAAGGTTTTTGCATTCCTCACCCATTATAGCTTACATACCTACCCATCTTGCTAAACTCAGTCGGCCCTTGGATTGTAACACACATTGTTTTATTGCGTGGGACATATGAGAACTTTATTTCACGTCTTCATATAATAGTGTTTTTATATTTTCTGTTACATTGTTGGCACTACAGAGGAGAAGCTCTGTATGAGCAGTCTAATGCGATGCAACTGCAATGGCTTTGGTCGCTCTCCTAGTTAGGTTGTTTGAACTGTGATATCTTCTTTCACTGTTAACTGCGAGATCTTCCGACCCGTGTTTGTGTGTGCTTGTCAGCTTAATCAACAGCCGTGTTTCCTTGTCCACCATACGCAGTGACTGTTCATGCCGTTCTGCTCACTCAACCGGAGCATTTTCTAGCAAACGTTTTTCATTTCTTCAGATTGAATGATTACAATGTGATAGGAATGCTAAGTTTGTTACTTCGCACCCTACTAAAACAAGTGATGTCTTTTTGGCTCATCCGTCACTGGACTCAACCTTGCGGTCTCCTTTTCTCATTTGAGTGACTGTAAGCCGTAACAATTGTTCTCGCACTATTCTTGACTGAAAAGACACAGCATGCTTTCATTGCAATCGCACTTGACTTGTGCACCATACATGACTCCTGTTTAGAAGGGACTTAGTGTGTTACTTTGCTGCTAAGTCGACTGCTTGGTATTACACCATTTCCGCCGTAACGCAATGCGCCGTTAATCACTTTGCTTGTTCTATCACCGTCCGCCAACACAACAAGAGTACGACTATTTTCCCTTCCATTTCGCTCAACTCTTTCTGAGTGCTTTACGCTAATCCGAAAATATACTACATTGGGTCCCCCTTGGTTTCTTTCAGTGCCACACAAATGTAGTTCAAACTGCTTGGTTTTCTGCATACCACCTTCCACGGAGCCAGTGTCTGAGAACCCATTGGACTACAAGGGTCTGAATCCTCTCGAAATTCCTTTCCATGCCGGTTGGCTTAGGTAAGCACCATCGCTCATTCATCTCGCGCCGATGTATCAGTCACCATCGTCCATTGTCTTGCGTGGGCTGTAGATCACTCTAGGTATTTTATGGTCTATCCGACAGCTCCACCTTGAGTGTGTATCTCAACTAATCAGCTGTGGACCGAAAGAACACGAATTGGATTACCGTGAGCACACAGTGACGGTGAAATGGGAAGACCTCACAAGTGGGTGAAACAAAAGGTAGGAAAGGGTAGACTTGCAATCCAAGATTCACCGATAAAATTAAAATGTACGAAATTCTTACTTATAACCGGACAGTTTTCAAGATCGCTACCACTTTCATAACTCTGTCTTCTTGGAAAGGATGTGCAACCTCCAAAAGTTACTATTCCTGAATCCCCTTTATGAAAGTTCGCACTCAAATTTACACAAATTTGGCTTTTCATACTTTCTGGTTGTATTATTGTTTGACCACGCTGAGGCCTTGCTTTGTCACCTGCGCAATATTGCCAACCGGTACATTTCATCTTATGCGATTGTTGAGCGTGCGAATATCAAGTCAAGTCAAAGTATGCTTTATGCACCCGACATGTTACACTATCACTGCGGATGATGGTGTATATGAAATTATTGTTACAGCAAAAATAAACGCGTAAGGATATCAACAATTCTCACTCGAGCAAATAATTTCGCCTCAAATTGATAGTTTTGGTTGGGTCAACAAGCAAGCCGGACAGGTACGGTATCACAGAATGGTGATAAGATACACTACGTGGAATTAAAATCTTAAATTCAGTGCGGGTAGAGGAAATACATAATGTTTTTGTTAGGTCACAATGTAGTGGATGAAGAGGGTCGTTTACAATTTTGGAGGAAAATCCGGTACAATGAACTCTACAAGGGACTCTCCTAGGCAATCCGCTGCATTAGTGGGCAAGCTTTATAGACCGTAAAATCAATGTATAGTTCTTTTTGTATAACCCAGGGAAGAGTACAGGGGAACAGAAGAGCCAATGTGACAGTATACATGCGGTCACACATCTACGAATCGAATCGCGGAATACTGAAACTACTTTAAGTCCAAGGGACATAAAATGACAACCGTCTAACCTTAGAAAACGTTTCGGCAACATGAATCGACCACATGATAGATTTCGGGATAAAAAGACCCGTAGAAATTTATTACTTGGCGAACTGGGTATGAATTCATCACAAACTGCCAATGTAACTCAGTCGGCGTGCCTGTTTTATGTTTTTTTTCTTGTTTTTTATATTGCGACACAATAGCTGTGTTTTTTCCACCTGGAGCTAAAGTGAGGGATGATGAAGATGGCTCAGCTTATTTCGGACGTCTGTTTCACCCGGCGGTACTCTTCCCAACCGGATCAGATTGGAGTGTCATCTTGTCGCGGTTTGTTTTCAAGTTCCCGTGAGATCAATCTACGGCATCTGAATTTGAGTTACATTTTTGTGTTTCCGCTCCTGGTTTCATCGGTCACAACGCATAAGCCATCAGGATGAATTCTGTCGATTGACATTATCGTGTATCTGCATGCGAAGGAGCGCATGTGTTGCAGTCGGTGCTGACATTATCAATGCCCACCTCGGCTGCTTATCTGAGACTGACCGTCATCTAGTGGCGCACCTTGCGTCTGATACCCATCTTCCGATAAGTTACTTCCAGGGTGCGCTAACTGCGATTCATCAATTAGCAGTGCAGCCCTTCAGTACATTCGTACACATTGCGACACATGGCGCTGCTATGTATCCAGATAAGCTATGTTCTCATGAACGTCGGGTGACAACGCTTCAGCCCAAGAGGATTCGTCGATTTAGAGCATTTACCTGGATTACTACGGGTCTTCGTGACGTAGTATCTCCTTCACTGTAGGAAATCTTCAGACTTCTGTACTTCCGACCTCTATCCGTGCTCATTATCCGTCAGCAAGCCTTAGCATACCTAGTTGGACCACTACTGCGTGGAAACGATGTGCTAACTAACGCCTGCACACCATGACGGGGATGTTTGAAGCTGCTTATCTATCTAACGAGGCATCCTTCTATTGAGTGTATTTCGTGAACCTAGCTTCGTTCCAGTGAAATACAGAGTATGGTTTCGACATGAAATCCGTGTCGCTTTGCAAACGTCCTTAAAGTGCCTCTGATTATGAGTCTCTTGGATTATCGAGTGTTTTGGTTGTTAATAATGTTTCTGTCATGTGCAGATCTGTACTCTTTCACGTAATCAGGCTAGCCGAATGCACGTTTTCACATTGTCTCTACGGCAGTTCACCATTCTTTGGAAATTAGAAAAACCGAAAACCATGCTAGATTTCATCGCGGCAAAGTTCGCATCAACATTTTTACACTTTTTCAAATGCTTGCTTAGCGCCAAACCTACAACCAGTCTACTACAATTCTAATTAAGTAACCGAGTACCGTTCCCGATTAGATTAATCTCATGATTTTACGACACCCATTTTTCCGAAGCGTACTAGAGAGTTGTCATTATTTTATAGGCGTTTACTTTGACACTTGAAGTCGTTTACAATAAGATTCTGTTCCCTAAGTTCGCCAGATCATGTGGAATGCTTCTGTACGATCTTGTGCTTCTGAAATAGTGATTATACTACGTTCTCTTTCGACAAATGTTAACTACGGAACGTTGCGGTTCTCATACTTCTGTACAGGCGATTTTTGATCTCATGACACAAAGTACTCCCCGCTTCAACATATTTCTCGCAATTTTTTCTGCTGTTTACTACTATCAGACAGCTGCTTGACGTGGTTGAGCGGTTTGTCTATTCTCGGAGCCGTCAACTCATTGAAAGGTTTTTGATGGGACCGCTTGTACTGGTATTTCTTGGTAAGGTTTGTCGACATCTTTTCCGTATATGCCGCCCCGGATATTTAGAATCTGAGTCGCAATATATTACACGGACGTTGCAGTCAAATGGCTACTGTGCAGTCTTTATTAAGTCGCGTGGCCGCCCGATGGAAGAGGACCAGCAAACGCCCCCTACTGCGTGAAAAACACACGCCTATCCCCAGTTGCCACTCAACGGAGATGTGGCAAAACAACTTGAGCGCCGATTAGCCACAGCAATTCGACGGGCATTCAGCACTGCCTAACGCTTCCCTTTTGGACTACGTGAAAGTTAACAATACTTCCGGTCAAGTTTACCCAATCGATCTCTGCCACGGCACATTTCATTTACCACTGTCTGTAGCTCCGCAAGCAATTAGCATCGGCAGAACGGATCGGTGTCGCCTTTGAAATGGGTTGCTTCTACCACAAGAAGTAAGCAACGAGGACGGGCGTTAATCTTCAAAATGCTGACATCGATTACTAAACATCTACCAATCACAGGTCATGAAGTTGACCCAGACATAGCGTTTGAGATTGTCTACCGCAGTATGAACGCTGAAATACTCCAACTCGGTGATGCCGCGGCCATTAATCGCAACCGCCCCGAAGTTTGTGTACAAAAACAGCTGGCTGTCATACTCAAACTACCTGGAGGATCCTTATGCGTCTCTCCATTCAAAATTCAAACCATTGTTTCCTTTCCGTTAATGGTCGTTGCTCGTTCGCATGCGATCAGGAGCACGAAATGAGATCATCTTGTAACTTTCGTCTTTCCATTATGTTGTTTAGAATGATAGAGGGAACGCAATGTTTCAAATCCTGATGTTAGTATACCGGCCATACTTGGATATACAATTCTGCATTAGGCCATTGCTTCCGTTTGGGTCACCGACGTTTTTGCTGCTATTTGGGAACATACCTTTTTTCCCATGTATGGAAGATACGATTACACTACTTGTGGCTTATTGCTTGGTAACACTTTATCTTTTGTTGCCCAAAGTCATCGTTTGAATTGCACGGATGCACCTTCACCTTTTATAGCCAATGTACTTTTTCTGCATTGCGAGTCTTGGTGTATGACGCTCTAACCGGATGCAATATTGCCACTTAGTGCTAGTTGCCACTGGTAGCTATGTTGTAAATATATACTCTTGATATTTAACTTGTCGACCTATGACTGCATTATTCTTACTACTCGTGAGCACCCTTGTCAGGCCTATTCGTTTATATATTGTTGGCTGTGCAGTTTGACCTATGGAGTTCCGTATTGTTCGGTTTACCCAAGTTCATCAGGATTTCGCTTGGCAGAACGTTCATTCCAATCGAAATGGGCAAACTATCGACCAGTTATGGTCATCTCGCTACTAGTGGAAAAGCAGGGTATTACATTTTCGGCCCTATCCCATCCGAGTTTTGTGATAGCCTCTGGTACCTGTGTTCTAGACTGGAACACAAGGCGGTTTTTCTGGCTTTCTTTCCTGAGATTGTCATTTTATATACCTGCGTCATCAACTAAAGCAAGCATTAATGATTGCACGTCAAAAAATAGAGGGATATATTTGATGGTCTATATTTGTGACTCTGCTTCCACAATTGCTGAACTTCAAATATGCAATCAATACGGTTTTTGCCAAGAGAGAAACCAACATGAATTCATTTGACACGACCTCTGCATATACTTTTCATCACCGAAATCCGGTTACTGTGATTTGATTTGCAACCCTAACGATGACGGTAGCGCTTACTTTATTTCTTTATGTATATTTCCGATAGGACCTTCCGTTGCGACATTTTACCTCGGTTGGATAGACTTGGCCTACGAAGAATAAGTTGCTGCCCACACCTTTTAGCTACAGTCGAGTCAAAGTATAATTTTGTGGAATTATTCCTCTCACCCAACCGTGACTCGTACGGACTCATATTAATACCTGGACTAATTCTACCAATGTTCTAGGGAATCCAACTAATCCGGTGCTCGTTGGCTACTGGGCATTTTGGTTTCATTCCTTTTCAAAATGTTTGTCGCAACAGACGTTCGTGGATGTGTATCAGCTATTTGCCTTTCTCAACATTTGATTCAGGCATCGGATGTGTTTCGCAGTAGCGTTTGATCGTTCCAAATAGCACAGACCCTCCTCATTTCACGTCATTGTTAGCTACCAAAGATCACGTTTAATCAAGCGATGCGGGGAGCTAACCCGTAACTGACTTCCTAACGGAAATCTACTTTTCGCCTCACTAGATGGGATCTAATCTAGCAAAACATCACTGGGGACGCATTGGCGTTACCTCGTCACATGTTAGTTCATCGGACTCAACCCGTCAACGCTCTAAATATTAGCCAAACTTTACCCTTAATGCTGCTACGTAAACTGGAAGTGCAAAGGTTGACAAGATCTGTTATAGTCGAGCGATCTAGTTCAGCAAGATTTCGGATCGCACAGTATCTGAATGAAGCTTGATTGTGTATATGACTCCGTTTCAAGGCCATTGAGCTTTCCTTTGTGTTTTCTGTTTATCTTGTTTTTTAGCTTACCGTTTTTTCTTCCTCGCATATCGCGTCAAAATCCCACCCATCACCGATCATTTTGTTAAAGTTCTCGTTTTCTCCATAGCTAGCGGTTGGTTTATTCCGTGTTGCTTCATCCATATTCTGCAGGTACATGCTCGTTGGCTATCCGAACGACTTTGGTAGGCAGTTCATCATTTACAACGCCCCTTGTGGTCGGCAGCTACGATCGCTTCACGAGGTTCAACACTTTCTTGATCGGACCAATAGCAAACTGACCACAGATCTGTTCTCCTTCGACCCTGACCTATGTATCAATAGTGAATTCCGCGCTGAAAAAGTGAGACGCTGTTCTGCATTTCTACTAAACCTTAAACAATATTATATGTTAATTTTATCGTGCTTATCGCATCCATTGCTGGCTTTTCTTCTGTCACCCCAGTCGTTGTCGTCACTTTGGAATTCAGGGTAGTTCGGCTAGTAACTTGTATTCGTGCATGAAATCCGTTGAGAAGTGGCTCAATGGAAATAGACACCATTATTATACAACCTTGTGATTTTTGCTAAAGTCCCCCTTCTGCGAGGACGGACAGCATCAGATCGACTGACCCTCCATCAGTTTGTTCACGTGTCATCAGCTGGTCACCTCGAGGTGCCGCACTTTGCAGGTCGTTGTCCGAAATGAACGTGAATATGAAGTGCGATTTCAAGTCAACCTAAACGTTACAAGTGCAAGTGATCGTCTAATGATGTACCTGAGGAGTGATACCGATACTAAAACCCCCTACTTCAGAAATACTCATTCACTGGTCAGACCGAAAGAAGACATCAGCAGTTAGCCGTTACGCAGGATCGACGCTCCACTGCGGCGCAATTACCATTGGTCTCACGTGAGCTAAGGATACTTCGAAGGTCGCCCGGTCCCTACGCATGCTCAAACCCGCGCCCTCGAATTACAGTGCAGGCGACTAGCCGGTGGTGGTCACATGAAATGTGTTAGGTCAGTTCAGATACCATTGGGAGCCGATGACTTGTCTCCTAGTGTTCAAGTGGGTCCTCTTTCAGCTTCTGAACATTCGGGGTTGATGCACTCCGAACGAATATGCACCGACCACGGTCGTTATAATAGCAGCATTGCTTTCCAGCACATATGTTCATATCGCGTCACCTGGTGCTCACCGAATTTTTCAATGATCTGGACCCAAATCGACCATATTACCATCAATCATAGATGGCACATATAAGGCCAAGGCTATTGGTCAATTTGGAGCATTTGCCTGGGTTCTGACCATGCTCTAGTGCACGCACGCCTGACACTCACTCTCCCAACTTCAAACAAGCGTCTGACTACTAAGCTTTTCACTTGTAACTCGAACTCGCAGTCTGCATTTCAACAATACGGTGAATTGATCCACCAATTGTCAGTGACGAATGAGGTTTCTTGAGCCTGTCACTGAATGTGATCGTAACAAGTGTGCAACGAAGAATCCTTTTGACGTCTGCTGTGTACACAACTTGTGACGTCGGAACTGTGAATGAATCTCTGGTAACTGTGTCACATCACTCAGAAGGTTACTTCGTGTATCAGCAAGGCCTGTGGGGCTTTCCAGTGGCTCAGCCTTCTATGGAGACGGCGGGATATCAGTCTGTCAGTGAGAGGCACGGTGTATAACGCTGTGATAAGACCAGTGTCACTGTATGGATCAGGCACCTGACCAGTTGGCAGTGAAGTCATCAAATGATTGGCCTTGTTTGGTCCCCGGTGCTTGTGGAGTATTGCTCATATCTGGCCAATGCTTAGATCCGCCGGTTGGCTTTTGGCAAGAAGCCTTTTGGTGCCTCTCTCGAGTGTTCGGTACATTGTAGTCGTTTCCGTTGGCTTGGCCACGTCCTCTGTATTCCCCTCGGTCGGCTTCGTTGGTGTGCATTATACGCCGTGGCTGATCCAACTTGGACGAAACTTCAAGGTGACTAGTCCATGACGTGGCATTGTAGGATGAAGGAATTGACTGAGAGACTTGATCAGGCTGGTACGTGTCCTCTTTGTGGATGGGGACGTCTGGTTTGTCCAAACCAGTGGTTGGACACTATCAGGTATCGCGCAGTCAGTGGCGTTCCTGCATTCATTTTTTTGCATTTAACCGTTACTTCTCCATCCCGTTAACTTTTGAGTTTTTTTTTGTCCTGTTTTCGGTTTCTTTTTGCGTTCAATCTCATTTTCTTACCGTCGTCACTTATTGTTACTCTGGCTACATGAGTCGTGGCAACTGGATCCACTGCATCCCGGTGCTCGGCTCATAGTTGTTCCACTGAACTGATTATCTTGTTTTAGATCTGTTGCAAGATCACTACGAAAATGCTTTCGTTACTCCCACCTTATCGTCCCAAACCCGGTCACTGTAATTGGGGACATTGGGAACATTGGGGATTATTGGGGGGCTGTAACGCTACTCTTCTCTTCTCCGGTCCAAGTGTTCACCTCATCGCTGCACCACTAGTGACACTTCCTGCTGCACTTCACTAGTTGTGGACAGGCAGCGCCTCGGGCTCAATATGTGTCAGAGGGATGCTGCGATGTTCACAAGGTGAAACTGAATTTGTGTGTTTTACCGACAGTTTAAGTGAAATGTTGTATTACTGCTGACGCTTCCACAGTGAACCTTATATGCTTGAACGACAAACTTCTCCAGAATGTCTATTCATCGTTTAATGTGAGCTGGGTTACTGGTTACTGTGCGTGTATCCGTCAGTGCGTGTTTTTCTGCCTGAATGAACTTTCTCCGCATTCGCATAAACGTTTGCTGGTCGATATAAGATGAACCTGCATTTGGCTCTTGAGTACGGAATTTCGCATACAGGATTTGGGGTTGTATACCTCTATAAAGGACACCTGTTCAATGTCGGCCATGTCTCTACTCCATTCCGCGAACTATTCTGTCAAATCAGCAGCATGTAGCCACCAGGCTGATTCCCAACTTACGAGGTATGCCATACGAAGACCGATGTAAGAAACTAGGGTTATACACCCTATCTTATCGTCGGCTGAGAGTTGACCTCATCATGACGCACCGGATATTACATCTGGGTGATTACCCCATGTTGAGACAACTACTTCATCTGCGCACACCAAGCTGCACGCGAGGACACCGGTATAAACTTATCGTCCCGGATTTGAAGCGGGTCGCCCATCAACTCTGTTTCGAACGCAGAGTGGTAAATGTCTGGAACGACCTGCCTCAGCATATAGTAGAAGCGAAAACAGTGTCTAAATTCAAGATGCTACTAGACCAACAATTTGCAGAGGCAAAGTACAAAGAGCGAAACGATAAATAAAAAGTTCATGTCCGAAAACGACGAATGATGCAGCTACACAGAGCAACCTCTACTCGCTGCTTCGCACCAGTTCTCAGTTCTCAGCCTGCCCACTTGATTGATCTGTGCTTACGTACCACTCGGGTCCCCTTCTCGGTTACGAAGCGTCTGCGACCATGCAGTCCGTCCCGCTGCTTTGAATTGCGACAACTAGTATAGTTTTGGACCACGGTTTCTTTTGACACCAAGCTACCACCTTCAAGCAGCGACACAAAGCGTTTATTGCTCCCATTCAAACTTGTTTTGCTTACTCCTCGTGTTGCACTTATTGACATTTCGTCTCACTCGACCAGTTCAGATGCCTCACTGGATTCTGTGTCCATCATCTACATTAAGGGTAACGAATTTTCTATATGTTGTTTCGGTTTCTACCTTTCAAATGATGTCAGACCATTCCATTCCTCCTTTATCTCCTACGCACTTCGATGTGCCAGTGGTTTTTCTTGACTTGAACTTTATGCTACCATACATATCTCAAACCCATACCCATAGACCTTCTCCATTATCTTCTGTTTCCACTATCTATGTGTCTTCCCATCAACTTCCACTTTTTTGTATGTGAGTGTCGAGTAATCAATTGAGCCGCCATCTATTTCCGAAACTCCGTTCCCCTGTAGTCTTTAACCAACATCGCGGATATTTCTTACGGTAAAGAAAATGTTCCCGTTCCTTGTGTGAACAGTGTTGACAACGAAGTTCCTGGCTACATTGATTACATTCCCCATCGGCAACCGATAGGCAAAGTGCCGTTACTCACTGACGACAGTTTCATCGTGTGCTGTGACTGTACGGACAATTGCAGAGACAGAGCTAAATGTGCTTGCCAACAGCTAACTGGTGAGTTGTTCTTGAAAAATACCTAACCGGTTTTCATGCTTGTTTTTTCCGACCGTAATACTATCCCCTAACACTTTAGCTGAGGCAAGTTCGCTCACTAACCCAACCGGGTTAGTTGACGCTCAAGCCGGCTACCGTTATCGTCGTCTTTCGCAGTTCACCGTTGGCGGCATTTACGAATGTAACTCAAAGTGTTCGTGCGATCGCCGTTGTAGCAACCGCGTCGTGCAACAAGGATTATGGGTCCGACTACAGGTTTTCAAAACCAGTCGAAAGTAAGTTGCAAGTTTCTTTTGTGATCCTCTACGCTTTTGCAAAACGTTCTCATGAACTTGACTCGAAGTACACGTGGTTCTCTTTTATATCTTTTTCACCCGCGCTTATAATGCACTACACTTTTTCCCCCTGTGTATTCCGCGCTTTTTTACTCTCATGGGTGCATTAGGCACGCTGTCATTAACTCGAACCTGCTCCACTTGATATTTTGCCTATTTTGTTCATGTTTACTACCACTATTTGGCAACGACAATCAAAGCAGTCCGATCCATCGCACTTCGGCGTACTGTATATATATATATATATATATATATATATATATATATGATTTTGCACTTGGAGTTTCGGAGTTAGTCTGTACAGAAGAAGGAAAACAAACTATCTCTTATGTGGTTTCTTTGTTCTTATCTTCAGCAGCGTCCGTTCACTTGTATCAACAAAGCGCTCCGCTTAACCTTTGAATCAAAGGTGGAACGGTTCATGTGTAGGTATGTGATACCGTTTTGCGTACATTATTCGGCAAAATACGTAGAGGCAATTTGAGAGGCATTGTCAGTAACTAGAGTCTTTGGTATTCCGTGCTGGGCGAAAAGTCTTCTCAATATGTTAATTGTTGCGTCACTTGTACGTTCCATGTAGGACACTTCACAGGACCGAAGAAATCCACGTGTACTCGCTCCCACGGCTTCGTTGCCAGCTGTCGGGAAGATAGTTTCACTTTTCTGAGAACCTTGATGACAGGCGCACAGTTCGTACACGATTTTGCCAGTTGCGCCAGTTCCGAGTATATTTTTGGCCAGTAAACGTATCTCGACCGGATCATTTTCATTCTCTTTATTTCAGGATATCCACGTGCAAACTGCCGCAGGGTTCTTTGGCGAACCTCCCTGGGAATAACTGCACTTTTCACCGGAATTAATCATTATTGGCGATTGACAGTTCGTCTTCCCTTGGGGACAAACTTCGCGGCTCTGCTGCTAGGTTGCTCTTCAGTCACTGTGTTATATGAAATTTGTCCGCTTTTTGTAGAACGGGATGCCGCATCGATGCAACAGAAGTTACGGAAAGACCTCTTAGCGTTCCCGACAATAACTGATCCACCCGTTTCGAAAGAGATCGCTGCAGTTGCAGATTCTTCGTAGAAATTTGCTTCTCCGAGCAATATAGTAGCCCACCGTTGCCTGATCAGATGATAGGTGAAGTCATTCCTAAGCGTGTTGGAATGGCGATGCATAATAACTGCACGAATGGCGTCCGCATGATGATGCTGAATCTGACAAAGGCAATAGCGGGTCTTCAGCAACTGATTGTATAACTATACTGTTTTCTTCCGTATTAATATGCCATCTCGATTTTAAAGTGGACTTCGATCGCACCAAACTGCCTGGATTAGCATATAAGAGTATGACATCATAAGCTCCAGATGATAGAACGAACTTGGGATCCTCCTTAGATCGTCTGGTATGCGAATTTCGGCGTTGTCCATGATCACCCACCCATTGTTTCTCTCCACTCTGCAGCACACGCACCACATGCTCTTCGAGGAACATTGAAAACTGCACCAAAGCACATGCCATTGTTTATGATATTTGAGTGAACAATGCCTGGGTTCTCCATTGCCACAGTCAGCGCCACCACGCTAGCAGGAGGACGCTCGCGCGCGTCCCTCTTATCGGACGAGCCTGCGTCCGCCGCAGATAGAGGTTGCACCTTTTCAGATATATGTAGATGCACTTCTCTTAGTCATATGGTGTGTGTACCGACGTGTAGAGATCATAAGCATTCTATCGTCGTGGTAATGGTGACCTGGTCTAGCTCGTAGTGCCACTTCTTGAGCGGGATCTTTAGCCCTCTCGGGGCATTGAGGATCGTAGATACAGTAAGGTGATCTCATTCTTTTTTCAGCCGCTGTGGTGCCTGCATCAAGATATCCCGCGAAAGTTGTTCAATGGTTTCGTCAGTGCGCTGTATGAGATCGGGAGGCAGATTCAGTATATTGTTTCCTGGACAGTTGCTCTGAGTGATGGTACCTTCTTATCTGCACGCATTGATGCCGTTTCTTGCCATATTCTCGTTAACTTCGGCTACTTCAGCAGCTTCGTGAGTAGTTTGGTCCTGGACTAACACAAGCTTGGTACTTATTTCTTTATGCGACAATGGTGTTCGCTTTCACCGTCGCTGTCTCGGAGATGCGCATTCTCGTCGTTCGTCGCTCATTTCGCTCGGTTCCTACAGCAGTGGGCTAATAAACCTAGGCTATGTCTGGTAGAGTTACCACAGCATACACTGTTCCCATAGTCGCGCGGCACCACAGGTTTATACACAGAGAGCAAAACTAGCTTACCGCCTTTGATCGAAGGGGACGGCGCTCATGATCTAGATCAGGGCTTGCACTAGCGTCCGGCGCCTGCAAAATTCAAATAACATTACTCTCACCGCAATCTAGCCTGAACATCGTCCAGTCCCCTTACTCATCAAAACTTGCTAACAAATTGCAGGTTTTCTGCTTAAAATAAACAACATCCAGTTTGGTTTGCAAAACAACCAGTTTACAATGAAAGTGTATATGTATATATATATATATATATATATATATATATATATATATATATATATATATATATATATATATATATATATATATATATATATATATATATGGTTGGCGGCATCCGGTTTCGGATTTACTTGTCACTGTGTCAAGCCACAGGACGCCTGCGCCTACAGAGGGACCATGGTTGGCTTGCGCTACACCACCCACAGCTCCAACCACACCCCGTGTCCAGTGTAAACCCGAAGGAATAAGACCGGGAGGCATGCGGATGGGAACCACGTTTCATCAACGGAGCTGACCCACACTCCTTCACAGGCAAACACAAGCACGCTGTGTTTGGGGAATCAAGCGCACACAATACGGTGGCTGGACCGTAGTCCGCTCCACACTGAATGTATGGAACCGCTCTTCGAGCCTAACACAGCCACAAGGACCGTGCACCCTGTCCCCTCCAGCAACGACCAGCTGTCTCCTGGAGCCAGTATGGACGAGGTAGTGGGTAATAGACAGGTAGGCATTTTGTCAACATGCACATCAAGCGCAGCCACACTAGGGATATCAAACAACAGCCAGTCACTTGAGAGAGAGACAAAGAAAATAACTCGATTAATGCATAAGGAAACCGTGACATAAACCTTAAGTTAATGAGCATATGAAATAAGTTGTTTACAAACGAATCCTAGATAAGTTCAAGATGTGAGAAAGTATAGTTCACGGAATGCCACGAACACAAAAATGCTACGGAAATCAAATACAATTGGCTTAAGCGAGGTGTGCAAGTTAATGGAACAGAGTACGGGTAAACATTTATATGAGAAAGAAAAGCAATAAGGCAAAATTGAAAACCCACCACCTGAAATAAAGTGACTTAGCATGCAAGCACGCGGTTAGTAAATCGAATTCAGCGTGCCTACAAACGCTGCGCTGGTTCGGAATACTTTTCTGCAAGTCCCGTCGTCGCTTCTGTAGTGGTCCCGAGTGGCCTCGCTAATGACTCACTAGTCATTTATATGAGAAAGAAAGGTATTAGGACAAAACTGAAAACCCACCACCTGAAACAAAGACTTAGCATGTAAGCACGCGGTTAGTAAATCGAATGCATCGTACCTACCAAACGCTGCGACGGTTCTGCCTACGTTCTCTGCAGTACCCGTCGTCGTTTCGGTAGTAGTCCCGAGTGGCCTCGCTCATGGCTCACTAAGCCTGCTTGACTCAGGCATTCGCGACCGCATGTTCTACAGCACCATGCGCTGGACGTCGATGGATAACAACCCATCGATGCTTGCCGCTTTCGCACTTGCCGCTTCTTCTCTGCATGCATGAGGGCTTTCTCCTGCACCTCGGCAACTGCCTTCATGATCAGATCGCGCAACGCACGCTGATCAATTGCCTTCGATTCCCATGATCTGCAATCAAGATTAGAACGTGTGAGGCTCACTTTAATCATATCCTGGTATCGTAACTTTGGTTTCCCCACGTGCCGCTTCCCAATACTCAACTGACCATATAATCATTGTTTCGGTATCCGCGTCGAATCCAAACGGCTCACATGACCGACCCACCTCAGGTGTCTCAATAAAATTATGCAGTCCACTGCACATATCCCACTGTCGCAATTCTTCCGTGTCTGCAACTCTGTCGCCCCAGCCGGTGCGCAAAGTCCGTCGCAGACACTGCTCCTGGAACCGCTCGAGATATCGCACATCCCGCCGGTACATCGTCCATGTTTCACTGCCGTATAGAAGAACGGACAGCACCATGGATTTGTACACCATCAGCTTCGTGCCAATGGTAAGCTGATGGTTGTTCCACACTCGGTATTCAAGCTTCCCGAATGCCGCTGCTGCCTTCGCCACGCGGATACGCAGCTCACTGTGTAGCTGCTGGTCAGTCGACATCACACTCCCAAGGTAGCATAAGCAGGAGGTGGTTTCCAATACTTCAGCACCAATGCTGATTTGCGGCAATATTGAAGATTGCACCTCCGGTGAAGGCTGTAAGAGACAGACAGTTTTGCTTGTGTTGATGGTGAGCCCGAATATTTCCGCTGTCGAAGCCAGAGCACTAGTCATTTTTTCTGCAACTCATCCGCGCTGTGTGCAAACAATGCACAGTTGTCAGCAAACAGCAACATACGGATCGTTGTCTCACAGACTAGAGTTCTCGCACCAAAACGACGGATGTTCAGCAACCCACCATCAATACGGTTCTCCACACGAACACCGTAAACACAACCCGCATCAAAAGCACAGGACAACATCGCATGTAGATATATATTAAACAGGGCAGGAGCTAAGACACGGCCTTGTTTCACACCAGAGACAACTGCAAAGTCATCCAAGGTCTCTCCACTCAGCTGCACCCTCGCTCGCATGCCGCTGTGCAGACATTTAATTAAGCTTACAAACTTACGCGGGCAACCAAACTTACCCAACACCAGCCACAATGCCTCGCGGTTCACCGTATCAAATGCCTTGGTGAAATCGACAAAAAGCGAGTACAATGGCTCGTGTCGCTCTCTGCATTTCTCCTGCGTAGCATTCCATCTGCTTCGCCTTCTCCGTCCACCATGCATTTTTAATGCGACGGAGCTCTCGGGTCAGTCACCGTCGAAGTTTGCGAAACTGACTACTCTTTCCCAAGTCACTGGGGTCTGCAACATGTGCAGCAAACGCCGCATTCTTCTTCGACACCCATGCGCCGATCGTCGCATTGTTCTCATCAAACCAATCACGCCGCTTACAGTTTGCGCGCCCGATGGTCTCCTCGGCAGCAGCTGTCACCTGGTCGTGAATGTGGTGCCACAGGTCGCCCACTGTGGCTATGCAGTCGACATCACACAGGCGTGCAGCCATCGCATCCTCCAGGTCAGTACATTTCTCCACGGTACCGAGGGAGAGAATGTTAAAATTCCGCCGATTCACGACGAGAGTTCAATACATAGGTGTACGAAAATATATGTACAGTTTGGTCCGCACCAATTTGTGATCAGTGCCACACTCAGGTCCACGCAGTACACGTGTCATGCGCACTTCACGCATATCACGCTGACGTACGGTGGCATAGTCGAGCAGGTGAGAGTGACCACTCCGTGGGTGCGTCCAAGTTGCTATATCACTCGCACTCAGCGCAAACCGAGTGTTCGTGAACGTCAGGCCGTGAGTGGCACACAGTGAGAGCAGCCTGTCACCGTTCGCATTCGCTGAGCCAATGCCATGCGAACTGGTAACATCTGTCCACGCTGATGCATCATGCCCAACGTGCGCGTTGAAATCACCCAGCAGAAATAGTCGGTCGCTCTTCGGCACAGACCGTATCACGGAGGATAGCTGAGTGTATAATTGATCACGCGTGTCATCAGGATAACACATGGTCGAACCGGACGTGCTTATAAAGGTAGCAAACTTACCTCTTCCGAGTCGTAGGCGCACAGTCATCAGTCGCGCGCTGATGCCCGTTGGCTCACCCACCAGCTGGCCATGGAGGCGATCGGATATTGCAAATCCGACCCCACCTTTACGTGGTGCTGAGGCGGCGTTGCCCACCCAGTAAAATGTGTAGCCAGCACTTGCTTCCTGCAACTTACCTTGCTCAGCGAGCCGGGTTTCACTGATCGCCGCGATATCGTTGTGGTAGCGCGCCAGCTCCATCGCGGCGAGTGCAATGCGTCGCTCCGGGCGCTCGCTGGAGTTCCGGTCCAGTAGTGTGCGCACGTTCCAGCACCCGATGCTGAGTGCTTTGCGCGCAGGCATACGATTGCATTGGTGGGCAATCGCACGCGAGGTGGTCGTTGTGCTTCGGAGGTTTGCTTGAGGGATTCCACCCTGAGCCTTTGGCTCAATAGCCTGACCCACAAGGCAGTGGGGAGCAGATCCAGCTCGGGAATGTGATTGCAGAGACAGATGGGGATCTGCTTGACGGCCGTCACGCGCAACCTTTGAGGTATTGTAACAATTATTATAAGTTTTGCGACCGTAGTGGGATACGCACCTGCGACCACGGCCAGACGCAGGTGGGTTTTGGCGGGTCTGCACCAATTTGACCAGGAGCTGCCTGGCTTGAGGCGGGCAGTAGCAAACCATTGAACACCTGATGGTGTCCTCCCACTGTCAGAATCAATGCGTGGCACTCGTGCTCTACGCCAATCGAGCTGTGAGCTTATAACCCGTAAACCTGTTGTCTCCCATGGTTAGGTTTTACGGGAAGAGGGCCATCGACCACTTCCTAACCTCCGAAGAGGATGGACTAGTATACTGGCAGGGCGCACACACCTGACAGGAGAACGACTTGGGTCCTCAGCCAAAGCCTTCGATTAAATGAACACCCGAAAGGCAGCGGGTCTAACACATGGTCAGTTCACTGACTCATGCGGATTGGTGTCCTGGATCTTAGCAGGGAGAAGGGCAAAACCCAGCTCCCACACAGCGGTCGCCACGAGGAGCGGTCCCGGGCATGAGCAAATGGGACAACAGTATCAGCAGTGGGTAGACCATCTGTCAGGCTCTCCCGCCTATATATATATATATGTATGTATATGTATATATATATATATATATATATATATATATATATATATTTATATATAGTATCTCATGCTGTGGTTGGTGTTGCCTTTATGATGCTTCTTCATCACGGGTGGTGTACACTGACTTACACTTAAACTAGATCTTTTAATTTTGGATAAAAAGTACATCACTTTTTTGATTTACTCAGTTTTGTTGTTATGTTACATATTCGTTGTTATTTTTGCGTGTGTAATTTTCTTCTAACTCTATGTTGCTTGTTCGCATTCGCCGTTGTGGCTGCACAGTGTGAATGTTCACAAGGCGCGTACCTGTCTAACAGCTTCCACCCCGATTATTGGTTCCAGGAGACTGAATCGTTGTTGCGAAGGGGACGAGCCGGGGTGCACAGTCCTTGGGTCCGTGCTAGACTCAAAGAGTGGTTCCGCTCAACACCGAAGAACGACCTTCGGCCTACGTATTCTAAGCATGAATCCCAAATCAGATAGAGAAGAACGCTGCTGCAATGCATGTTGAAAGCGCGTGGTCTCCCATCCACTCCTCTCCCGGTCTTATTCCTTCGAGTTCACACCGCATATGGGGTGTATGGATGGAGCTGTGAGTGGTGCAGCGCAACCAACCCATAGTCCTGTAGGCACAGTCCTCCTGTGGTTACCGCCATGAAAGACACGAAGACTGGCGAATCCGGAACCTGATGCCGCCGTCCATATATATGTGTGTATACATAACATTGGGTGCGACTAGATATGCTTGTATTTCTTTTTGGAAACACAGGCTCTTAGTCCGAGACATTTCGAGCCCGAACAATATTTGTTTTGAGACGAACGGGGCTGATTCCATCCCACTCACTGCGACAGCCTCGGTAGACTGAAGCGAGCTAGAATTAACTTGCGTAAAGATAGTTTTGTAAACAACCGAATTTTATTCCATTCCATTAAGTATTTTTCTTTCAAGGAAGTCGGCGGCCAGCGGGAATTGTGAGGCTTACGGAGAGGGGTTCTATGCAATTTCACGTTGAACCCATCTCGCTGCGTGTTCTCATGTTCGGTAACTCAGTCCTATCTGTTCGGCTTATGTAGCTCACTCCGCAGAGATACGAATTGATGTACACAGTGTGAGTTGGCCCAGATAGTCAGAGTTCCTTTCACTGAAGGTGTCGGCAAACTTCGGGTTCTGTCGACAACATCTAGAGCGACATAGTAGGTTCCTTGCTTGGTAGAGACTATTTGCTTAGATGTCTCTAGTGTGCTGAAATCACCTTTGAAAGGTATCTTGATGTAATACATTGCTCTATATCATACGATCTCCATTACTCACTGTAGGTCCGAAGCGCTATTTGGACACTACCGATGCTTGCGACAACTAATTAAAACTGGAGAACAAACTTAGTTATCGGCTGTTTTCTTTCCGTTTTCTCTTCCTTGATTTACGTGTGCCTTTGGGATCTGTGCACTGATTGATTTGGCTGATGCTGTTTGCCATCTTCCATCCGACATGCACTATTTCGCTTCCGATCCTGTGAAAGAAACTGATTAGCATATCTAACTACTGGCTTCTGCATAATGACGTGGCCAAAGATTTAGCGTCATTACACGATTGTCTAATTTGGCCTACCAATCGAATGTTGTCTGGACCTTCTGTTGTTGGTTTATTCTGCCGATACTCGTTGATTGGCTCTGTGCGCGTCCTAAAGTATTCATCATGGGGGAACCATTTTATGTTTAGATTCGCGTCACTCTAATCTTTAGTGTGCAACATCACAGATGACCCAAAACACAAAAAATGATTTTAAGACGCTGTGAGAAACTCCACTGATTCGACCTGCCGATCTAGTAGTTCCTTCGTACATCAGATGTGATCACTTCTGTTTCGATTCCGGACCCTGGCTGTCTCTGCTAAGCGCACACAAACTAGGATAAAACAAACCTATTTCAACTAATGCCTGTTCACTCAAGGCTTATGGAACAATCGCCATACTGGGCATCGGTGTTGCTCAGGTGTCGCAGTGTACTGCCTCCGTATGCACTATCACATATAGTTACTTTTCCTTACTGTAACTATTCGCAGCGGGTAACTCTATTTACACTTTTTCCAATTTTCTATCATCTTATCCTGAATTACATACCTTAAAACTACTTGCATTTCTTGTCGGTTTCGCAGCTATTGCTGTATGCTCAGGTCCCGTTTGATTGAAATCCAATTACAGTCCCATGTCTTTGTTCATCTGTTTTACTCGTACCCGAAACAATTGATTGTGTGCGTTCTGCATAGTCTTCTTTTGCTACCATGACATATTGATATCACCTATACAATTATGATTTCTTTTGTGTAGGGGCTGGGGCATCCGAGCTCTGAATGCCATCCCGAAAGGCACTTTCTTGTGCACCTACGCGGGCGCAATATATGACGAAAGCATGGCTGTGCAGGTATGTCGTTCAGTAGAACGTTTTGTCTTTCCCCACTTCGACTTAATACCCCATAACCTTGAGCTGCTTTTCAGCGCTCAAGTCATTTGAACTGTTATCAACCCATCTTCCTTGTTTTAAGCACGCTGTTGTGGGATCCTTCCTGTTGAACTACTTCATATGAACAAATGGGGACTTCTTCCACGTCGTCTCCCACCGCTCCCACTTTGATCGTCGTCGTCATCATCATTACGTCAGCTTGTTAGAGATACCACCTCTGCCGTGCCGTGCCGCAACGCAACGCATTATTTAAAAAACGGAAATTAAATAATGAACTATGCAAAATAAAACAGCTTATAGTATGGTTTCGTGTTTGCGCCATGCATCGATAGTGAGATCGTGGTTTGCGAAGACGATTACGCTTTATTGTGAGGTACAAAAAGCCCACAACACGAACGCCACTGAAGTTAGGTTTTCGTCATGTCGACAAGTGTATCTAACCAACTGTGTTGAACGCTCAGAACGAAAACTAATCTGGACCTCTCAAATTCCGTTTTATTGTTTTCATGCCTATCACCTAAGGTGCGAAACCGCCCCACTTCGAAACGTTATTTTTTCCACTTTGCTAGTGTTTTAATCCTTCAGTGTTTGATCATCCCTTTAATTTATCCACTTCTAGTAGTTACGCATTGGTCATCGGTAATGTGGATTTATTTCCCACCTCCTTATCATTTTGCTGACGCTTTGACGGTAACGCGGTTGTTGTTGGTCTCTGCGGATGGCTCTTTGTTGGAATCCACCTCATCACTCTTCCACGTGAGCATCCTGTTAAACCACCACAGCAACTGATTAGCATATGCTGTAGTCATCCTTCAGTATTTGGGGCTGTATTGGAGCCCGTCTTCTCCTGTTACTGTCCACAGTGCGTCTATCACCTGTAGGCTCCAGTGATGTTAGTTACTGAGACAGCTTATGTCACCTGGGATTACGGTGCATGTTGCCTTCGAACCCTTATTGACACATCATTAGTCCATTTGCTGCACCACAGGTATATTGCCATTGAGCTTCACTGGCATTTCCATTTCCCCGGCGTCTGATGATAAAATCGTCCAGACAATTGCACTTTCTTTAGCTGAATTTATTTGATGCTCTATGTATAGTGGTCCGTATAATTATCTTGTATTCTGACTCCATAACGTTTACCACATTATTCATACAAAACTCTCACATATCAATTTTTGGTCGTGGTCGCTAGTGAACTACCGTCTTCATGCTTTCTCCGGACTGAGTTAGACGATCTCTGGGAACTTCGTTGATTTCTGTAGCTTGCCGACAGACTTGGAACAAGTCGACGGTAATGCACCATCCTAGTAAACAAGTTACAGTAGTGATCACTTATTCACCAACTCTTTTCTGCGGTTCATTCCTCCTTTCGTCACCTGTTCGCCTTCAATTTCTAATCGGTTTTTTTCTCTCCACTGAATGACCAGCTCCATTGCCCTCCAGGTTTCATCGAATAGTGTACGTGGACGGATTTTTGCCGGTATCACAATCCATGCATGCACAATTCCCATCCCTTCAAATATTCTCTAATAGGTCACCTCCAAACCCCAGTTGCGGCCATAGAATCTGCTACTCCTGCAGTTCATTTTTTCTTGGATATATATATATATATATATATATATATATATATATAAATCGGTATCTGTGTCCGGATTTTTCTGTCATTATGGTCTCCTTGGGGACAGCCACGGGACTTCTGTGCCCGCATAGGGATCGTGGATGGCTTGCGCTACACCACCCACAGCTCTATCCACACACCCCCTTCAGTGTGAACCCGAGGAATGAGACCGGGAGGCATGTGGATGTGAGCCACGTTTCATCAACGGAGCCGGCCCACACTACTTCGCCATGCACCGCAACAGCATTCCTGTCAGGCTAATTTCACTATCACGCTTACCAGACGTACACAAGTCGGTGGCTTGGCCTTAATCCGTTCCACACTGGATACAACAAATCTTTGAGCCTAGCACCGTCTTGAGGACCATTACTCTGTCCCTGCCAGCAACAATTAGCAGCATCCTGAATTCAGTATAGACGAGGCGGAGCGTTTTGACATTTAAGCACGTTGTCAACATTCAACTTAAGCGCAGCCACACCGGGGATATCAATCAACAGCCAGCACCACAAATGCCAGAAACTCAGCACGCAAGCACGCTGCAGACCAAATGCAACTATGACGACGACATGCCTCATCGACCGCCCTATTTGCCTGGGTTAGTAAATGGAATGGAATCGGAAGCAGCGTACTTACAAATCGTTGCTCCGATACTGATTGCCTTACCACCCGAGTCGTTACTTCTTTGATAGTGGTCGCATATGTTTACGTCGGTGTCATACCAGACCAGCTTGGCTGAAGCATTTGCGACCGCTGATGTCGATGTCATTGCTGACATTGGCACGTGCCTTTTCGTTAACAAGATTTTGTTCTACATTCAACAGTGCTTCCACGTGCCCCTGGCAACCACATTTTTGATGCGATCACGCCATGGGCGCCATGTAAATGCTTCCCAACCCCGAAACTAATATGTTTTATTGCCAAGATAGAAAAAAGCTCGACAGCGCCTCCAAACTATCATCCGTAATCTTGATTTCCGTCAACCCCACGGATTCAGTTCCGGCAACGGCTGAAAAGGACAATCTTATGTGTGTGTTGATGATGATGAGTCTGAGTCTTCCTACCACGGAGCCGAGAGCCGTCGTCATGTGCTAAAACTCATCCGCACTGTGTGCAGACAACGCATAGTCGTCCGCAAACAGTATCATACGGATGTTTGTCTCATACACTAGTGTTTTCGACCTAAAAGGCCGGATGTTTAGCGACTCACTATCAAGACGGTGTTCCACGCGGATACCGTAATGACAAGCATTGCAAGCACATGACATCTTGTCGGTTAGCTAAATGTTAAACAAGTCAGAGACTAATACACAGCCTTGCTTCACACCAGAGACAACAGCAAAGTCATCCGAGTTTTGTCCACTCAGCTGCTCTTTCGATCGCATACCACTGTGTGGTCATTCAATTAAAGTTTCAAACTTACTCGGGTAACCAAACTTACCCAACACCGGCCACAATGCCTCGCAGTTCACCGTATCTAGTGCGTTGGTGAAGTCGACAAACAGCAAATACAAAGGTGTAGCGTCAGTCACCAGATTTCTGTTCCAATCGGCGAGCCGCGAACGCCATGTTTAGTGCTGCGGCTCGAACAAAATCCGCATTGTTCTTCCGCCACGTTCGGTTCACCGACCTGAGTGACGAGGCGGTTGGGCAGGATCCGATCAATCATCTTTCCCACACAGGTCAGCTAGTTGGTGCCACAATAATTCGTTGCACATTACTCACTCCCTTTGCCCTTATACAGCGGTAACACAAGTACACTCTTCAAGTCAGCCAGCGACCTTTTTCAATCCACACGCTTTGCACCAAGTGATGCGGCGCATGTAGTAACTCGGGTCCGCCGTTTTTTAACACTCCAGACGGAAGGTTGTTGACTCCTGTGAACTTGCTGTTTCGCAGCAGAGGAAGTGCTTTCTGCGTCTCAAACATTGTCCGCTCCGTACATCTTCATTTCGTGTTGTTGCAACCTGTGCAACGCAGGTCTATTGACCTCAGAACGGTTGTTCAAGGAAGAGTCTAAGTGGTTTTGCCAGATCAGCGTCATGTCTCCGGTCTGTGTGCAAGGAGCGGTTGAATCAGCATCCACTGCGTCCTCAACAGCTGCAGGGTGAGTCCATGCACCGCCTACAAGGAGTCGCAAAATTCCTTATGTTGGCGGCGTTCGGTTTGGCATTCTATCTGCTTCGCCTTCTCCGTCCACCGTGCATTCTTGATGCGACGAAGCTCTCGAGTCTGTCACCGTCAAAGTTTGCGAAAACGACTTCTTCTCGGAGTCCGCATGGTCGTCCACATGTCTCACGTATGCTGCGCCCTTCGCCGACATCAATGCGCCAATGGTCACGCTGTTAACATCAAACCAATGAGGCCGCGCGCGATCGTTTCCTCAGCAGCACTGGTCACCTGTTGTTTCATGTGTTGCCGCAAGTCACCGACTGAAGCGATAGAATCCACTTCGCCAAGGCGATAAGCCATCACAGTATCTAGTTCTTTACTCTTCTCAATAGTGCCTAGGGAACGAGCATTGCATTTGCGCCGCTGATTCACAGCGGGTGAGCAATACTTAGATGTAAGCAATTATATATACGATATGGTCCGCACCAACTTGTGATCACTCGGCTTCACGCAGTACACGTGTCATGCTCACTTCACGCATGTGACGCCGGCGTACGATGACCCAGTAGAGCAGGTGAGTGTGATCACTCCATAGGTGCATCATAGTCGCAGTATCACTCGCACCCATTGCAAACTGGGGGTTCGGTCACCGTTCCCATTGGCTGAGCCAGTACCGTGCGGCCCGATTACGTCTGTCCATACTGCGGCATCACGCCCAAGGCGCCCGTTGAAGTCACCTAGTAGAAATTGCCGGTCGCTCGTCGGCACGGACCGTATGCCGGAGGACAACTGTGAGTAAATCTGTTGCTTTGTTTCTCTAGGACGGCACTTGGTAGCATCATACGTGCTAATAAAAGTGACAGACTTCCTAGTCCTATGCGTAGGGTCATCAATCTTTGAATATGTCAGTCGACTCTCCCACCAGCTGTCTATCTCGACGGTCGGATGGTGAAAATCCGACCCTACGTTCATGTTATGCTGTGGTGGTGTTTATCACCCAGTGGATCGTGTAGATACCAACACTTTCATGCAGCTTGCCTCTGTTAGAGTGCCGGATCTCACTGAGTACTGCGATAGTGCTGCGGTATCGCGCGAGTTCTATCACGCCCAGTGCATTTCGTCGCTTGGGACGTTCACTCGAGGTCCGGTCGCGTAATGTGTGCGCGTTCCAGCATTCGATATTGAACACAAAGGCATACGATTGCACCTGGCGATCGTTTGTGTCGTCGAT